GAACGCCTCGACCGGTGGGCTGAATACTTCGAACATCAACTGTCATGGCCACCAGCCGGCACCCATCTAGAGCCCACAGGTGAAGTATAACCCTGGACGGTGAGCGTGGAACCACCTACGGCCTCGGAGGTTTACGACTGCATATGTTCTTTCAAGAGCCGACGATCTGTTTGCTTGCATTTGGGAAACGGAGTCTGTCCCAGACAGCTGAGGAGAATCGGTGATAGTGCCCGTTTTCAGAATGGGCGCGTACGAATTAGCTGAAATAACGTTCGGGCATTTTTGGCTTTCTGGTCACATTTCGCCCCCTTAGCCCTGCGCGTCCGCCAGGCTTCACAGTCGTTGCACATAATCACTCACTTGTCTGATAATTCGTCCTTCCAAATTGTGTTCGGGACGGACGTGGTCATTCCTGAGGCAAAGACTATTTGTGTAGTAAGACAACTGTCAGTTCGCCACGCAATGCTCTAGATTAGCTCCAAAGGTAAAGACCATATCACGAATTTTGATTTTGATTTCAATTTTTCCGTCTTCCAAATTTCAGCTCCACTATGTTCCTTCGTAGGTGATAAATTAGCTGTCCAGCCGGTGGCGTTAGATACGTTTAAACCGGTCAGCTAGCAATGTATATAACAATTCCTTCGGCCGTGGATGATTTAGATGTTCTGATTGCCCGCTTAAAAAGGTTTAATGGAGTTCAACTTCAGCTACATGAAGATCGGCTCAAAATTTTGGGACCGGTTGAGAAGCTGGTGGATGCCCAAGTAAGTTTTATCGGTTGTTTACTTGATTTCGACACAGAACTATGCTCTTCGTTACCTTGGACCGGAGTCAAATACCCCCATCCATGTGTCGAATGACTGCTTTAGTGTTTTTCAACACGCCGACCTTGTTCGACACTTTGAGGAACAGTTTGATGTTATTATTTGCGTCAAAGGGTCACGTGAGCTATATCTTAAGGGCCGACAAGCGGACATAGACCGGTTTCAAGCCTGTCTGAGGGAATTGGAAACCAATTGCTGCCAGTGTCCAACAGTGCTAACCCCGTTCAAACTGGAGAATTTGCGTCTGTTATGTCAAAAATTTTCCATTCTGTTCCACGAATTACCTCCCAAACCCTCGATTCAGATGGCTCTCTTGATCTATTTCTCATCTTTACTGGATTCGGGCGCGAAACTGTTGCCGAAACAACGTACAGCGCCTTTATCGTACATGGAAGTCTATAGAAAGCCTGTTGGAGAGTCTCAGTTGTTTCGGAACAACCACTCTTCACTACAAGGTAACCGAAGAGCTTTTTGACTGCGTATTCCATCATGATTCGGTCCATACCAATTGTTACTTCTACCGAGGACGGTTGATCCCTGGCAGACGGTTGCAAATGTGAAGTTCTTGTGCCATAGTGTGATTGATTTCGCCTTTTCGAAAGAAATTACGTCGTTTTCCCAATAAAGCTATTTTTCAGGCAGGTCGGTCTCTGGTGCAGTTAGGCTGTACATCTACTTGACTGTATTCAGCAAACTTTGCGTACACTTTCTGACTTGTTAATCTTTGATAAATCACTGATGCTAAAGAACAGATGATTTATATTCATGAGGCTTTTCGCGCTCAGATACCACCATAAACTTACATTTTAGATGATGCAACTTGTCGTCATTTCGTCACTGACAGCAACACCAGATGATAACATCAGTGTTTCACTGCCGTACAAACTTCGCTAATTCATTTCATTAAAGCCTTAATCGAAAGAAAGGAAATATTAAGAAGAGAGGGGTACTTAGGCCTGGCCTATCAAAAACATCCGAGATGCTTACACCTCTACCATTCAGTCAGGCAATCTGGATGGAAACTGACCGCATGAGCGACACTGACACCGATTAGCCGCCATATCTTTGAATGTTTCTAGCCAAACCCACTAAGGGGCACGTGGGCTCCATTCCTGATATAGAACAGCACAACCAGCACCCAAGCTTGACATCTTTCATTTCCTTCTTCCATATCAAATTCTGTCGACCTATAAGTTCCTGCCACGCCGAATAAGGCACGAAAAACAGCGCGTGTCTTGGCAGACGGTATGCGCAACACATGGCTCAAACACTCTAGCTTGTAGCACTGGATATATTCCGCCTTACCAAAAGCCTATCTTTTGATCATCTAGCTGCGGTTTCCTTGTTTCTATCCGATCCCAACTACACTTCTGAGACATTGGTGGTCAAAGAACTGAGGAACCTTCAAACCCTGCTCCCGAAGTTGGGGTTTGGGAGGTCTTCCAGTTTTCGCCCACTTGTCTCATCAACAACGACAAGTCAGCAAAATGTAAATGGTGGACATCCTTGTCGGACAATACAGCTTGTTGGAAAGCCGGATGGCTTCCCGTGCACTCACGCCCACAAATATTCGACTGCAAACAGCGCATGATATTCACGAACATTTGGAGCAAACCCTGCTGCGCAAGCCTGGTAAAGAGAGCTAACCGACTGACAGAATCGAATGCACTCTTTAATTTAAGGAACATCGCAGTTGTAGGGAGCCTATGTGCGTGCCGTTGCTTTAGCTGTGGTCCACACAGCACCTTCCAGACCGGAGCCCTGCTTGTTGTTCTCAGGTCTTTTCTTCACGCGTCTTCGTAAGATGACGTAAAATGAGCGACACAAAGAGTGGGTACGACGTATGTCAGGCTAATTCTTATGCGATCACGACACACTGCAAGCATACGTGAAAACGGACACTACCATCGACTCACCTCAGTTGGTTAGAACGGCCTCTTTTTCCAACACAGAGGTAAATAATTTAGACAAACATCGATTGAGGACTTCGTCTCCATATTTGGAGAGAACGAGTGGGAGTTCGTATAGACCATCAGTGAAGAAAAGTACCCGCTTAATTCCGAAGCCGTCGGGGTCCCTAATTCGCTGTCCGGGGCTGTATTGCCAGTTGAGACATCGGTTGAACAGTGAGAGGTTGTTCGTTGTTAAAGCCAACGATTTAGGTGCTCTTCTTTTTGAACGGACAGGCAATCCGTTGGTATCGGTGATTGTTTGACGCACCGCAGGTTTCTTTGGGCACTTTGCGCGTATTAGCTGGAACAGCTTGTGTACATTCTCAGAATTTCTCGCATCCTTAATCTCTTCAGTTTTCTGGATCCAACAAGTTTCTCGGTCCCTGCGAATGCTCTTTTTCACCTGAATTCTGACAGCTATTCGAGTGGCATTTTACTCTCTATCAGGAGGAATATGTCTGAGTTTCGGGTAATTTTAGTGTTGGTGGATTTTCAGTGCGTAGGTTTAGTTCGTTGAGCTGTTCCACAAGCGGAGCACCTTGGAGGTTCAAGGACGGTGTAAAAAATCATTCAGCTGTAACACCCTTTCGGTGCCTAGCTGCCATGCCACCTGGAGGAAGCACAAGGGCTGGGATACTTCCAGGTTGCCCAAGCCTAGACAGGGGAAGTCGAGAGGCAGAGTTCGGTTTCGAACCACGTACCTTGCAATGATAGTGACATTAGAAGACGTATCGTCCGAAAAAAACTTCAGTGGGTGATTTCGGTGTGGTCATGGTGGCTGAGTATATATATATATATATATATACATATATACATATATATATATATATATATATATATAGTAT